CCAAATCGACCTTCTGCTCCTCCGGAATCGAGTAAAGCTGAAAAAGTTTGTTGCATTTGCTCACCCACACATGTGGATCTGAACCAGAGAAATATGAGAACTCCAAACGGGGATAGTGATCCAGGATCGAAGGTCGGCGGTGCTGCTGGGAACGAAAGTTGTGTTGATCGGCGACGGGGGCCTGCGAGTGCGATGGCGAACCGATTGGTGACTTATCGCGACTCAGGGCGAAGGACGCCGCCAGAGCTTCGATGTGATCTTTTTTTGAAGCCGCAAGCTCCGCCATGGCTGCCTTCAAGTCCTGGTGGTGAGAATCCAATTGGAGCTGCCCAGGCGCCATTTGCGCCTCCAAATCAATGATACGAGAAGTGTTTGACGCCATTGCCAGACCTAAGGCTCTGATTACCACTTGTAAGGATCGTGCTGAGTTGATCTGGCGAAATGGAGATGGCGTAGGGAAGAACAGAGATTGCGAAGGAGAAGATAGAGTTTCTTTTATTAGAGTCTAACTAATTGGTAAAGTTGCTAAATGGTAACAGATTGGTCAAAAGCTAACAAGTCATAATTGCCCAGCTCTATTTATACTGCTGACTCTTCTTCACACGTCACACGCCAACTGTATCCAGCTGTCTTCTTTGGGTTGTTACATCCAACCTCCGACCGGAAAGCGAAATCTCTCTCACCGTCTGTTCCCAACATCAATATGAAATCGTAATTCCCACCGTCCTTTTGGCCACGCTCAAGCCCAAATCAAAATCCCTCCCGTTGCTTCCCTGCTCATCACAGCTCACCAAAGCTTCGACCTTATTTTTTTGGTACACTCAATCTGAAATCCAAATCGCCCATTGTCGCCCTCTCCGTATTTCTTCAATCGTCGCTCTCTGCCTCTCTGGTCATCAAAGCTCTCCACAGCTCCGACCTTAATTTTTGGTACACAATATAAAATCCAAATCATTTATCGTAGGGGTTAGCACCATCCTAACCTTAATCTACACCGTCCATATCTAATTCTAATCTTATGGCTATAAAAACACTAAGGGTAAATTAGGAATAGCCTCCATTAATTATTAACTTCCGTTTTTTAATTAAATTTGTTTCCGTTAGTGAGCGGATTTTAAGGGATTGGGGACGGTTGTTGCTTGGAAATAATATTAACCCTAATTTCTCGGGAAAAAATAAATGTGCTCCATATCAATCTAATATGATATCACGTCTCCCTCTTTAATTGATAGATATTTATTAGTAGCAATATTAATTTAATAGTAGCGATTCTATAGTTATAACATTATATATTGTTTCTAGTAGCTATTTCCGAGGTGGTAATAGTATTTCCAATCAAAAGTACTATTCCAATACGGTAGTTGTTAATCTGTGATCGTAGCGATATTTTATGATGATAGTAGTGATTTTACAAAGAGAAATCATCAACATAATAAGATTGAATTCATTATGAACAACCCAAAGATTAGAATAGATCCAATCAATAGTAGTTGTTTTATAGAGAATGTATAATTCTATTTAGTAGTATTCACCTTAACTTTGTGTAGTGGATTTTTATGTGTAGCAGTTATCACATATTCCCAATTCGTGTGGTAGCGTTTCAATGTTGTAGTGTTTGGAAGAAGGTTAGTAGTTTTCTCCCATTTGTATTTCCTGTAGTAGTGTTTCATTTCAATATAGTAGTGGGTTTAACTTTATTTAATAGATGTTTATGTGTAGCAGTAACAAGTTAACTTTTCTTTTCCCCCTCCCCCAAATCTCGTCCACTTTCCCCATTTATATCTTGCTGACGTCATAATAATTACCCACATTACTCAAAAGCCCTTGGAGCAAATCACCGTTAGATCAAGCTTAAAAAAAAAGAACGAAGATGCAATGGGTTGGCACGGTGCTAACCCCTCAATGGGTTAGCACTCCATCTCATTGCCAAATTTTCGGGGATTTAGTTTGTAGTCTATGTTTAACTGAAATATCCGCCAGAGCATGATCCAACCTAAAAGTGCCAAATTTTGTGTGTATGGAATACTTAGGAGTCAGGACTAATTAACGAAAGAGTTAGAAGTCCGGACTCTTCAAACTACGAATCACATTTACTCTTTTGTTACACTAGCTTATAACCCGGCACGTTGGCCGGAATTTTATTGACAATCCTTCGATCGAAATGATACATAAGGAAAGAATATATAGGTTGAACATTCGAAAAAACATCACAATCATTTAAGAATATGAAATATGAAAATGTATCATTGATCCCATTTTCATAGTGATAATAAAGCCCCGCTAAAATGCTATTGGTTAGTTGATTGTCGAGAAAGATAGAGGATAAAAGCTCACACGACCCATAGAAATCAACCTCACAATCCTACATAAAGGAAAAAAAATTGACGAAAGATAATCGTATATTGATTACAAAATGCTATCATTTTAGGAAAATATGTCACTAATAAAAAATTGGAGAGTTGTTGATTCAAGTCAACTATATACTAACAACTCACTTAAGAGGGGACCATCAAAACTTGAGAGAAACGAAAAATTAGGGTTACCTCCACTATACTAATAGGATCAAAGTAATAAGGCACAAAATTAGACACTCCTTATCTATCAGTTCCAGTAGATTGAATCGAGTCGCTTCAATAAATTAATCAATAAATGATTCCTCGTTTTAAGATAGAGATAGTTTGTGATAGCTGCAAAAACCATAAATCTAAAGATCTAATAGCCACCACTCTTTGTCGTACAACCAAATTTTTATACACTCTATCGTCAAATTTCAAGAGGCATATGTTTCTACAAAAAATTCAATTTCTAATCCTCCTTCTGCAACTTTATTTATTGAACTCGATTCTATTCGAATTGATATCAAAGTTGACATCTTCAACTTGCCCAGTTTAAATTCCCAACAATAAAATCGTAGTGCCAAGATATATCAGAAGATTGATTTTCAAAGACAACCTTGTACGGGAAAGTGAAAGGGGCGCAAACTATTGCACGATGTACAAAATTTCGGAGAAAGTTAGAAAGAGATAAAAAAGCTCAAAATTTATATTTAAATTGAAAAATACATACGGTAGACTTAGTGGTCTTGCTAATCATGATGAAAAAGTAGTCATATTCCCAGAATTTAACTTCGTGTACTATATATATTATTGGAGGAGATTCACTGGCTGTCCAGGCCGAATCCTCATATACGCAAGCTGATCACCACCACAAACCTATGAGCCAAACCCTAGGAGAAGGCTCTACGTGAATCCCCATTCACCTTGGGTGGGCTTGCATGAGCCCAAGGAAGAGTGGGCCAATCCAATGCCCAAGAAAATAACTGGCCGACAGCTGCTAGTTAATCAAATTTTTTTTGTTTTTTAACCTGCTGAAATTATTAAAAGTGATCAGATTGTCCTTCTCCAAATGAGAAAGGAGAAACATAGGGGGCCTAAGAGCCCAAGACTTTTAATCCAAAGTTAAAATGTGTAATTACTAACTATGGTAGGCAGTTGGCACACACGAATTGACATTGTATTGTATTGTTTGTTGCTCCACCTCCAGAATGCAAAACGAAGAGAAGAAGCTATAGGTAGTTAAATCATGCACGATGGCACACATCAATCGACGTTAGGTAGAAAGCTCGACGATCGACTTGTATGAATCTTCCTAACTTCGTGCTATAAAAAGAGGATGCAAACCCCTTCAAGAAACTCACACCAACAATTCTGAGTTCTCACAATCTCTCCTAAACCCTATTTTGTTTTTCCTTCCGATCTACTAAAAAGCCTAGCTAGAGCCATGGAACCCCATCGTTTCGATGCTACTGCTCTGGTCCTGATCACCTTCATCATCACCCTTGTCGCAGCAACTGCCCCGACAACCTCCTCGCCTTGTGCTTCGGCTCCCTGAAAACTACCGACTACGGCGCCAGCTATTTGGCAGTGGGCGAGGGAGTGGAGATGGAATCCAACCCCCTTGAGCTTGGGCGCCGGCTTGCACTACTACGTCCGAGTGGTGTCCGTCTTTTTCGGCCTGGACGCCAAGATTGACGGAGATGGCATGGCATGGCCTACGTGGACAGCGGAGCTAGCGCAACCGTGGTGCCAGATTCTGCCTTCAAAGCACATCGCGGGTGGAGATCATGAAGCTGCTTGACGCTGCCGGGATTTTTCCATCATCGGTCGGTCGGCGAGAACGCACCTCTGCTCCAAGGCCCGACGCAACTCTGGCCACCACGTTCCCGTCGCTCTTTTTCAACCTCGAGGGCGGGTCGAGGTTCGAGCTGCACAGCGAGAGCCTTTTCAGGGTCACGGAGGATGGCAAACACTACTGCTTGTGGCTGATTCGAAGCTCGTACATCCTAGCTCTCAAGGGCGACTCGACATTGTTGATCGGTATAAACGCGTTTCAATTTCACCGCGTAGTCTTCGACTCCAAAAGGAAGCAAATATTTGTAGAGCAGATCGACTGTCGAACTATGACGACGTGATGAATTTGGATATGGACCTTGTTTACGATAATTTATTCGGAAAGGAGTGAGCCATGTTTAAAAAGTTTTGTTTAGAAGTCAAAACTCAAAAGTGTATTTATTGAAATTTTTTATAAATTACGAGCTATGACTATCAGCCGTCATAAGTTGGATCGTATCGATTACGAGTTATGACTATCTAGAGACTATAATCTCATATTTAGTGTCACTTCTTAAATACTCTGCCTAGTGACACGCATATTTTATGCATTTAAAATTTTGTTTTCGTACTCATCAAATTTTGTTACGTTTATTTGATGTCAGTAAACACGTACACAACACATATAAAACAGTTAGCATTTGTATTTAATGAATTAAGTTGATAATATGTCTTCCTAATCCCCTTGAGCAAGTCTAACCACTCATAGGGATTCACTAGATTACTATACATTTTTCTTGCTCATATATCGTGACAAATCTAATTCCAGAGACAAAAACTTATAACCATGGAAACACTAGACTTCATATTCCAGCTTTGCATAAGTATAATGCTTGGTTTACCATTATTCAAAGTAGGCAAAGTAATACATTATCAAGGTCTGAATTTGCAGATACATTTCTCAACAAATCTATTGAAAGCAAGCTTAGCTCTCTAGTTTTCACAGCAATACCAACATGATCGATTGAACTCCTCCAAGAGTTTTCATAATAATATCTACTCTCTACTGAAAAGTGCAAAAATGAACACACAGAACAGATATCACAGACAAAATTTGGCCATCATTTCGATTCTCTTCATACTAACTTCAACTGAATGGTGGCAGACACGGAGACAAAACATTCATCAGGTCGACAAATCAGTGATGGTAGTAGTAGCACTCTTACAAAATGTACCGTCGGAGTTGAATATGTGCTTGTTTTCATGAGGTTTGTCTTTGCCTTCGTTTTTCCTTTCGCATCCACTTCCCGTCTACTCTCACTTCCTTCTGCTGTTGGTGCCTTGATTTCTCGAAGACAGCTTGTTGGAAAGGATTTGGTCCGCTGAAGTCGTCCTTAGACTCCCTAACCTTCTTCCTCTTACCTCGATCGTATTCTTCGTCCCTGTTTAAGACAATGGGGGCATATTTGATTGATTCATCGCACATACGCACTTAGATCCACAATATTGAAGCCAAATGGAAGATTTTTAACTCACCACTCGTCTGCCACGTAACCGATGCTGAAAACCTCTGCACTATTTGATTTCCGGGTTTGAGATGGATTTACCTCATCCCAACATGAGACTGCAACAAACAAATGCGAACGATTAGTAGAAAGCTACTAAACCACCAACAATCAAAATGTAGGTTCTGACAGTTCTACCCAGAAAGACAAAGTCCAAGGAACTGCTGTTCCACCTTTGGCTCAGTTTCTGCTCTTCTTCTTACCAAATAATAATATAATTATAGGTTGTATGAAAGTAACGTAACTCTTACCTGTCGTATGCTTCAAACCTTGAGCAAGGAAATCCGCCACACAATTCTTCGCTGCATCTCTTTTAACATTTCCTATCGTGCTGTTAGCATCCTGCCTGTTTGCTGCAGAGTTAGAGATGGAGCTCTTCTGCAATTGCTCAGCTGTTGCAAGGACAGCACCATTCTGACCAGTCCTTTGTGACAACTCACCAACCACGTCTCCTTGAGAACTGATACCTGCATGATCCTCCTTTGAATGGGCTTTAGCTCTCTTCTTCTTCTTCTTCTTCTGAGAATTAGCTGAACACGATGGAGAGGCAAAGTTCTTGGAAGTTGAGGGCTCCATCTCAGATGAAAGACTCTTTGCTTCCTCTAACTGCTGCTGCTTCAGGAGCATCAGTCCGTCTGAACTGCGGCATTTCCTCTTTCTATTTTTCGTCTTTATGCCATGGCGGAGAGATGTCCTGAAGAAGTTTGTACCAAGATGCAGTTTATGAATATGGTGCTTAAGATGCTTCTTTTTATCTCTTTTCTGTGGACTGCTACCAGGAGCATTTTGAACTTCACACTCCTTGTCAACTACTTCAACTTTATGGCCTGCCTGATCCCCAGTTTTGTTAACTGGAACACCATCCTGAGAAGGCTAAGAAAATAAAGTCAAAACGCAATGAAAAGCTAAATTACCCTGGACACGTGATACATAGCTCTGATAAATTACCTGATTCTTCTCACAGCTGGGATAAGATTGTGATAGTGCATGATCTACTTGATCCTGATCACCAACTGATGCAGCCGAACAGGGTGCATTTGATGTCTTATCACCAGCAGATCCAGAAGGCACTTCAACCACCACGGTTAAAGCAGAACTAGGCTGCAGGATGATCAAGTGATCACATTAGCATTTTTGCCTAAATGTCAGCCCCTCCAGGGACCAGGAACAGTGGTATACATGGACTATGTAACACAATGTTACCTTTTGCAAAGACTCAACAGAGGTGAGCTTGCCAGTTGCCATATTTCGCTCCTCACTGGAGCTAGAGGAAACGCAACCACTGACACTAGTTCTTGCTGCAAGTGAGACGATGCAGTCTTTCGGTTCACGAGTGGGGCTGACATTCTCAGTTACACATTGTGCAGGAGTTTTAAGGCATTCTCCTAAAGCAGGCTCAAGGAGCAATGGTTGCTTGGCAGAAGATGCCGAAACGGGACGTGGATTTTGAATTGAGCATTCTGCATTTGCCGGCTCATTTTTCTGATTGGTTGGTACTTCCATCTGTAGAGCATCCTTTGAGACACCGTTAATCGTTTTATTAACGACCATGTTAGGCATGCTACTAACAAGAGGGGCTTTAATATTGTTGTCTTTTTTAAGCTCATCAAGTTGTCTCCTTGGAGCAACTTTCTTTCTGTCGCGAACATAAAATAACATATAAGCCTTCTGATTTAAAACAGTCTTCTCACCAACTTGGTGAACCTGTAATATCAACGTAGCAGAAGGCTATTACCAACCAATGAAACAAATATTCAGTAGAATGACCACACAATATATATAATTTACCTTTTCGTCATCAAGACAGTACCACATCCCAGTCGAGGTGCGAACAAAGCAGACATAGTGACCAAAGCGGGTGCTGCTTCCATGATGAACTAGAACACCATAAAGGCTGTACTTCAAGTTGCATTCCTGCCATGCACAAGTAATACGAGAAAACGAGGCACAATCAGATGAAAGAATAGAAAAGCATGGATCGTCCACCAATACACCCTCACATACAGAGGGGGAAAATAGTAGTCAGCAATTTATCTGCAAATGGAAAAGAACTCACATTGGGATCACTAACAAATGACCTAATGTCCAAGGTACGCTCGTAACACACTTGCTTCCCAACCTTCCTTCCAGGATCATGTGCAAAAAAACGCTTCAAATGTATGCTCAACACATAGGGTGGTTTATGAATCGTGAGACGTTTCGTGGCTCTAACTTTATGCTTGCATTGTTGACATTGATAATGCTTCTCTCCACCGTCCAACAACTCGGCAGCAGTGAAGTTCCGTAGTGCTACAGGTAAAGCATCCGCTTTGTTTATTTCAAGACTCAAGTCTAAAAATGGATCAAATTTGTCAGAGCAGTAAGAACACTGCTGGCATTGCACCTGTAATATGAATAGAGTGAGCCAGAGGCAGATTCTCATAACACCAAGCTATAGCAATAGATATCTAATAGCCTATGGTCGTAGATGGTGAATTAAAACAATAATAAAAATAAATACAAGGAGATTTGTCAAAGTTGACAGAAAGAGAGCAAACTTTTCAAAAATCATGAGACATCATATTATTTTCAAACAAATCTTTGGAGCACTTAACAACGGAGCAAAATCAAAGTAATTCCAATTCATATTAGGAAAGAAAATTACCCTACTACGCAGGTGACCACCAAAGATTTTGTGCACCAAACTCTTTTCATAAGCAGCAGGCGACTCGCTCTGGACTCCTGATGGTAAGCAGCACTTATGCATTGATTCCAGCAAGTTCACCAGGTATTCATGTGCGTCTTCTTGCTTAGAAACTTTGAGAGTTCGGGATACACCTAAGTAGATGGTTAAGAACTCCAAATATGAAACACGTGGAAGATGCAATCCAAAACCACATGAAAACCCTATTTAACTAGATAGTTCCATACAATGAAAAACTGGTTCTATTTCAGACACATTTAGCAAGAAACAAAAAGTACTGGCTCTAATCAATTATTTCCATGATAATTTTTCATAAGAGAGAATAAGAATTCATCCAGATCAACCACAACGATGAAAAGGATACATCTCATGTTCGAAACAAGATCTGGTACAAATGATATCCCGGTAGATCGTAAAGCACGGTTGACATGTTTCTGGATCGCACACAAGGCACAAAACCCAGCAATCCGGCCTGCATGAAAAATGAATCCAAAAATAAGTCTGATATCAAAGATAGTCATAGCTCCATCTAAAGCACAAGGGTTACAAAAATCAAATTGCATCTGTAAAATGGTAGGATGGACCAAAATACTTATTCCCAACTCATCCATCATTTCCTTACAAGGGGAATCAAGAGGCTTTACAAATTTCAGTTTATCGCCAATAATTATTCAGCAATTTTCTCTAGTGAAAGCACCATAATTGTCGAGATAAAGAACTTATATGAACAGAGACAGACAAAGGTGTGTACTTCGTATGACCATATCAATTCCTAGTTTTAGTTCAGCTCCCCATGAAATGAAGACATTCTTATGAACATTTGGTAAAGAAACACACATTTCATGTGGCTGTCAAGGGAAAAGCTCCTAATTTATTCATAATAGCTGATTAACAGGGCTTGTGTACATAAGTAAAACCAAAGTAGACAGAAATGGCAAAAACAATATGTGAAAGAAGTCGAGTAAACAGGCCAACTTACAAGAACTCTTGTGCTTGCCACTTTGTAAATACGCCGCCAAAGGTTCTGTATAAGTCAGGCATTGCAACACGGAATTGAGGAAACAAGTATTCCCGATGTTTCGCAAACCAGCACCCTGCCAATCACCCATCGAAATTCAAAACTCCAGTGTCAAGTTACTAAACAAGCTTATCTCTTATGATAACACGAGCCTATGATTCAACTGAGCGAGACCAAATCACCCAGAGTTAAGCAATCGTTGAAGTAACAAGAAAAAACAAGCTGCTCCAAACAGGGAGACAACCCAGACAATGCCTAGAAAATGCTCAATCAGCATTATATGGAGAGTCTAACGGCACTGAAATAACTATACATTCAAAATTCAAGCTGCCAATCTACACAATTAGATCGAACAGTTCACACCCACACAAGAGCCATAGAAAAAAGATCAAAACTTGAATGCTCGAAATGAAGAGAGTGAAAGCAAACTCACAATCCTCTGAAATGTGATATCGAAGCTACTGATCTCGCTCTCCCACAAATCCACCGTCGTCCCGTCGCCTCTCTTCACCACCTGACGCGACATCGTCGCCGTAAGCTCCTCCAACCTAGCCGGCCTCTTCGACGAATCAGGGTTCAGCGTCTCGATCGGGAAATCCCGACACGCCCCCAATCCGCTGTACTGCTTCCTCGCCGGGTGGAACTCTATCTTCCGCTGCATCATCGCCGCAGTAACAAAAGAAGATGTGGAGGCAACGGAAACCTCCTCCACCGCCGCCATCATCGACGAGGACGATCCATCTTTCCCTACCGCCAAAGTCTCGCTCCTCTGCCCCGCCACTACCACACTCTCCATTTCTCTTCCCCACGAATTCTTACCCCAATCGATCCGTTAAGCGGGCGAGAAGATGCCGGGGGAACGGCGATCCCGGCGGGGGATTTCTGTTGATTTGTTTTCCGTCGGCGTTTTTTGTGAGCTGAAGGAGGGAAGAAGAGGAAGGAGAAGAAGTGGCGGCCTCTCACTATTAAACCCTACCCTGCCCTAAAATCTTCTTCCCCCAATTTCCTTTTCTTTTTTGACTTTTTTTCATTTTTCCAATCAAAACGACCGAATCCCTGGAAAGCGGCAGCGGTTGGCCGGTGGAGTTGCCGGCGGGTGGATGTGCGACACGTGGGAGGCGTTGCCGCGTAAAGTGAACGGTGGAGATTCATTTGGTTGTAGGACAACAGTGGATTTGTGTCCTATTGTGGGTAGGGCTGCAAATGAGCCGAGTCGAGTCGAGTTTTACCCCAGCTTGAGCTCGGCTCGTTAATAAACGAGTCGAGCTCGAGCTCAGCTCGTTTATTAATGAGCCGAGTCGAGTCGAGTTCGAGCTAGCTTGTTTATTAAAATCTTAACTTCTATTTGGTACTTCATTTTGTATATCATGATACAAATGATTTATTTTGTTAGTTAATCTCATCTTATACTTTATACTTTGTTGGTATCATATATCATTTAGTTAATAAATTTTAACTACTCCAAATCATGTTATTTCATTGTATCGAAGCAAACTATGATGCATAATTTCTTTTTAAAGTAGAAAATAAGATATATTTGCTCACATACTCAACGTGCAAAACTTTATATATGGTGAGATATATAAATTAACAACCATATGAATTAAAATCATAAGATATAGATTGATTCGTCCATAAGTTGGTAATCGAGTTGACTCTCTAGCCACATGTTAAGACATATCATGAGCTCTAAACGAGCCAGCTCACGAGTTTAGCTCAACAAGCCATCGAGTCGAGCTAGCTTGCGAGCTTCACGAGCTGAACAAAGGTGAGCTCTTGTTCGGCTCATTTATTAACGAGCCGAGTTTCGAACGAGCTTTTCTCGAGTCGAACGCCGAGCCGCTCGCGAGCAGCTCGGCTCATTTGCAGCCCTAATTGTGGGGCAGGAGGATTAGGAATGTGCTTCCCTTGGAGTGGGTCTCATATGCCCTCCAGAATGTGCAATGCAACTATCAAAAGGGTCAAGTAGTGCTGAAATTGAAAAGGTCCACGGCTCTTGTTGTAGAGGAATGGTATAAGACGTGCTTTAAAAAACTTTCCAGTAATTTGAGTTATTGGAATTAAAATATTCTCAGCATTGAATTAGAGCCTTTGATAAAGAGGTATTGGATTTGAATTCTCTCAACCCCGATATTAATACTTGATTCAAGCACACAATATGATACACGTAAAAATGAGACAGTTAAATATTATAAGATAATTTTGAAATATGATATCATTAGAGAAAGAAAGTAAAATTGATAAATGATAGTTTCGATTTTATCGAATGTCCTTGAATGAACTAAAGAAGAGTTTAACTTACACGAGAACAGGGAGTAAGGGTGGAGAGAAGAAACAAGTGAGTTCATTCTTGCAAAAGAGAGGTTGTTATAACCTAAACCACAACACAAGTGAGTTCATTCTTACTAAGTGCCATGAAATTCATAAGAATAATTGCAAATTGAATTAGAATTACGGTCAAGAGTTGAGACTTAATACTACGTTCACTTTTTTGTTGAAAGAGTATTTTTCGCAATTAACTATGTGATGAACTTGCTATGGAGTCGAATAAGTAATGAAGAGTTGAATGATAATTTAATAGAATATGTTGAGAGTGATGTCTTAGATAAGTTGGATAATGAATGTATTTTACAAACTTTTCTGAAAAATTGTCATGGATTATTGAAATTATTAACAAAATTATTATATATTTCCATTTCGAACCCACCTTAACCAAAATCCTGGCTACGCCCCTGTATGTTACCCCGCCAAAAACACGTCCTATAGCACATACATCTAACAACTGTTTCTTTAAGAAAAAAGCGATTGAGGACATCTTTCACATTACTTAAAAAAACATCTTCCACATAAGTATACAAATATGTCAGAGTGACTTTTATCTTCCTTACTATGGATTAAGAAAGGTTATAAGCTCAACAAGAAGACAATAGGGCTATAAGGGGAGTACAATAGAGAGTACATTATTCCTTAACACTTGAACTGAAAACACAAAATTACAAAAGATCAGGCCTCTAGATGAAAATCTCAGCCACACATTTTTTTTTTAAAGATAACTGAACGACACAATGCCTGAATCCAATTCATCGCTTGATTTATTACTACTTAGGGTGCATGGTAGGGGATGGGAATGAGATGCAAATTATTTTTCCTTGCAACCGTACCCCCAGATTCTTCATCCATGTCGAGGTCCTCGGGTTTCATTTTATTTGGGAGCTTCCAGTCGAAATGATACAACAAATTGACGAGCAAGATACGAACCGTGGCGATCCCGTAATGCAATCCTGGGCACATTCTTCGTCCTGCTCCGAACGGGATGTACTGGAAGTCATAACCTTTGTAGTCGACGGAAGTGTGGAGGAATCTTTCCGGTATGAATTGGTCCGGTTGGGTCCAGTGCTCAGGGTTTCGACCGATGGCCCATGAGTTGACGATGACCCTCGTTTTCGCTGGTACCTGATATCCGCTGATCACGACCGTTTCTCGGGCTTCTCTTGGAATCAACAAAGGAGTAGGAGTGTGCAACCTTAAAGTTTCTTTGATGATTAACGTGAGATACTGGAGCTCGTCGAGACTTGTTGCATCCACAACTTTCCCTCTTTTGTCAAACATATCCCTCACCTCTTTTTGTGCTTCTGCCATCTTGTTCGGATTCCTCATCAGTTCAGACATGGCCCATTCGACGGTATACGGGGAAGTGTCGGCTCCAGCCAAAAATACATCCTGCAATACGTGTGTATATATATATATATATATATATACATATCAATGAGACTAAAAAAATTAAATGTGTGGATTACATAATGTATTCATTAACAAGTACGGACTGTAGGTATGCCCTAGTGTTAAACATATGTAGCACTCAATTTTCAACAATCTAAACTCTCGTATTTTTAAATTCGGATAACCCAATTCATACAAACCTAAATTTTGTCTATCAATTAACCATTTATTGTGGTAAATATTAAGACAAATACACAACCAATAAATCCACTAGAGATAACATAAATTAAGTCAACTCAAATAGAGTTGACAAATGAATTGGATCCAACGATTGGTGTATTGGATTGGTGGATTATAGATCAAATGGATTGGTGGGTCGATCCATTGATACAAATGACATTGAAGCCTTGGACCAATATGAAAATTTTGAAAAGTTTAGGTACTAAAAATGTCATGATGAAATTTTTTAGGTAACAAATCATAATTTTCAATGATATTTTTGGTAAATTTTAAGTACCAAAATATAAAATATAAAAAAATACATGTACTAAACTGGAATTTACCATTTGAATCCATGGATCAATCCATAAATTCACCAGTCCAATTAGATTTGGTTCAAAATGAATTTGATCAGTTCAATATTTTAGTGAATGCATTTATAGGATTCATAGATATATAGATTCCCTCTAATCCAAATGAAGCCCTATATATCAGAAGAGTGAAAGACAGAAAATTAAACACTTTATTTATAACCTAATTAATTTAATTAGTAGGGTTTGGATGTTTGGCTTCTTCTAGCCATGTGACTCTTTTGTTTTTATCCTTTCTTGTCTTGGTATACAGATCAGTGAGCTTTTTGGGAAAGAAGAACAATAAGATGCAATATACATACCAAGATGACAGCTTTGATCTCGAGGTGGTTGTCAGTGCAACCCAAGAGCACATCCACCAGATCTGGATCATCATCATCATCTCTCCTTCCTCTGGAAACATGCTCATCAATGATCTCCTGCAAGATGGCATCCGCCTCCTCGTGAAGCTGCCTCAGGTGCCTCTCCGTCCCAATGGCCACACGCAGCCACTTGTGCGACGGGAAAACATCGCCCACGCTGAACCCTCCCAGCGCCTTCAGGATCCGGTGCAGCACCGGTATGAAGGATTCCTCCAGCTTCCGGATCCTGCCGAACGCAGCCCTCGAGGTCATGGCGTTCCCCGCGGAGATCACCAGTTTGCTCAGGTTCACCATACCTCCTCCTTCTTCTTCGGTAGTTTCCCGAATGAATCTTACCAACTTCGCCACCTCTTCCTCCCTGCTGGGGCGGAGGGACCGGACCCTCCTCTCGCTCAGCAGCTCGACGGTGCAGATCTTTCTCATCCTGCGCCAGTAGTCTCCCTCGGGGGCGAACGCGATGTCTCGGGAGTCGTAGAAGATGGTGTGGGCCGAGGGCATGTAAGGTCGGGAGGCGAAGTTGTGGTCGTGGGTCTTGAGGAACTCCTTGGCGGATTCAGGGGACGATACGACGACGTTCGAGGTCTCGCCGAGCTGGAGGTGCATCACGGGGCCGTGTCGTCGGGCTAGGTCGGCTAGGCGGCGGTGGACCAGAGGGAAGGTGGCGAGTTGGTGGATGTTGCCGATGATGGGGAGCTTCCATGGCCCTGGAGGAAGGGGGAAGGCTTTGTTGTTTTTGGTGAAGATGGATAGGGTTGAGAAGAGGATGATGATGGAGATGGGGAGTAGGAGGAGGAGGAGGAGCAGTGCGTCACTCGTAACTTCTACCATTTTCCTTTTTTTTTTTTTTTTTTTGAAGGTTCTTTCTTTGTTCATTGAGTGCTTGCTTGTGTGGGTGTATATATAACTAGTATTATGACCGGCCCGTTGGCCGGTGTGTTTTGTTTGGAGGCATTCCTTTGTTTGTTTGTGTGTGTGTCGAGTTGGTGTTGCGTATTATTTTTGTTGTTGTTTGTGATTTTAATTACTTAAGAAAGTAGTATACATCGATTTTATTTGACAATTTTGGTCCGGAGTGTTGTTTGCTGGTGGTCATGGAGTGTGTTTAATTGTTTTGGGGTGGCTAAATATTATTTTAGTAGTTAGGTGGGAGTAGTCGTCATTTATGTCTGTTGGTATATATTTTGGATGCTGGTTAAGTGCGTATATGCGAGGGATTATTGCAAAAGTGGCAATGCATGCTAAATGTTTTATTTATGTACTGTAGATTGTCATCTACGGGAAACACATTAGGAACTTAAATGATAACCACATACTAAATTTATTTCTGCACGATGCTGTTTTTATTTAGGTATTGTAGATTGTCATCTACCAAGATCACAGCATATATGTGCTTTCCTACTTAATTGGGTACCCCGTCAATTGCCCTCATCGTCGTCGACACAAATAATTTTCCTTTTCTTGGTCACGGCAGTCGGTTCTTTGGTGTTGTCATCGTCCAAGTTGGTGGGAGTTGTGAATTCATCTTCAATGTTGTTAGTCTTTGAGTGGTCGTGGTTGTGGTTGGAGTTGCTGGATCCTGCGGTGTTATTGGATGGCTTCAATGGTTGTTCCTCCTGGTTTGTTCAATTGGCAGGAGAAGTGGTTTATTTTTAGAGACATGGTACTATTTAGATGGTTTATTTCTTGATGTGGAAAAGTGATTAAGTAGTTGTGTTTACCTTTGATGGTTCGTCGGTGATTCTGACCACAGTGTATTCACCCTTCGGATGCGTGTAATTATAGTTTGTCAACCTTATTTGAAAAGTGAGATGCATATCGATAACCTGTTTGAGAACGGTAGGAACTTCTGTCTTGTCTTTTGCACCAGCATTGTATAACTCATTGGCAGATACTCTGGCCTCACCCTCCAAGAGTACAAAATTTGTTTTTCCAGTGGGGTCGCCAACCATGAGTTGTAGTCGATATCTGTTTGAAGCAGTGGGATGAAACAATTATCATACTAGCAAAGACCCGCTCGCTTGCGCTTCACAATGAGTAAAATGCTCTAAATTGAAGCAGTCATAGTGGCTATATGTTAGGAATGCCCATTAGCATGGTATATGAACAATTTGTTAATTTGATTGCTGATCGTGTCTTCCGAATTCTCCACAACATGCAGCTTCCAACACACTATTAGAGCTGATGAAAGTATAACCCTTAATCATGCAAGAGGCCAAGAAAACAAATCAATTATGTTCTACTTCCCTGGAAAGAACAACTACGTTTGGAATTCTCAAACCAAACAAAGCTAGTATTATTTACCCTGCCAAAAAAATGCACTTGAGAAATAGAGACATGCTATCATCATTCATCAGTAGATTGATAGGTTACTTTGTTCCTTCCATAACTACATCACTACAAGAAAATCGGCCTATAGAGGCAAATAATTAGAGGCAATTGTTGTATTGGTCTCTATAGCTAAACGTTAGGAGCAAATATATTATTTGACTCAGTAGGTGAAATTATTTGTCTCTATAAACAAATCTGATAGTCTTTTGAGACAAATACAACTGTTGCTTATAGCTAAGTCATTAGAGACAAATTTAATAATTTTTAGATTCAAATATAAATGCTCCTTATACATATATCATATAGATGCAAATCTAATAGTATTTAGAGACAAATACAAATGTCTCTTATCATCATGTTATATGGAGACAAATCTAATAACTTTTAGAGACAAATACAAATGTCACTTATAGTTATGTCATATGGAGACAAATTTAATAGTCTTTAGAGACAAATCTATATGCTCCTAAAACACTAATTCGAATTGGTTGTATTGTGTAGGTTTAAGTAATGGGGAAAATTATAAAAAAATAATGGGAAAAAACTTATCATTTATCCCGCCCAAAGTTTCTCCATTTCCCTTCCCATTCCACTTCCACAACCCTAGCCGCCAACCCATGATCTTTCATCTCCTCACGTCGTTTCACTTTCCCTTTCCTTACACAAAAGGCACTTCCCTTCTCCTTTTCATTCCTCAACTCTGCATTCTTCCTTAAACAACCTGCAGCATGGCTGCACAAGTGAAGTTATGGAGTAGACCTAAGGTCGACGGTCATCAAGGTGGCAAGCTGCCGTGATGTTAGTGAAATTCGGTGCGGAAGCGACAATGGTGAGAATAGATCTATCTTTTTCGTCTTTAAAGTCGGTTAGACTATTGTTTATTAGATCTGAGATTTTTGGTGAATGTATATGTGCTTCTAGTCTTCAAAAATCTCATTCGATCTTTTTCTATCCTCTTTTTAAGATACTTAGATTTTGATGATAGTGGTCGGAGAACAGCGTGGTGGTGGCGGCCTAGCAGCATACCGACATCAATCGTGCAATTACTTGACGTCGTCCAGCGGTGGCTCAACGATGGTTTGGTTGCGGCCGGGAACGATTGCGAGGTCACCATGTAATCGTAACTCACGGAGATTATCGGCCGGAGGAATCTTCTTGGCATAATACTAGAATAGATTATTGGTGTATTTTCAGTGTATTCCGGATGTATTTATCTTATGTATTTTTGTGAATATTCATATTTTTATAATAGTGTATTCACGTATTTGATAGTAATATATGAAAAAATTATGTTTTTGGTGATCTTATTACAATTATCTTATTGAATGTCGTGTGCCCATTAATACCCCTTATATATATATCCAAAATTACGAAATTTAAATAAAAGAAAATTATAATGTGAAATATAAAAAAATTATTTTCTTCAAAGTACTCATCAGAGGCAAGTATTTTTGTTTCGTAAGCTCTTTAGAAGCAATTAAAAGTGTTTCAAAAATTAACATTGCATATAAATATATTTGTCTCTATAAGAATTAGAAGACGTCCAAAACAAGCTCTCTAAAATTAGAATTAACGTCAAACAAATTTGCTTCTAATTCTTTAATTAGCAACATATATTATTTGTTTCTACATTTGTCTCTAAAAGGAATTAGAGAGGGAGGCGTCCGATGCAAATAATCTATCTGTCTCAATAGACGTATAGAAACAAATAAATGACTTTTAGAGATAAATAACCTTTGTCTCTAAAACCAGATTTTCTTGTAGTGCATGATCCGCATCTGACACGAAGGGCCTTTGCTTTACTGCCGACAAAGTAGAATCAGCAAATGCCAAGTCCAAATAGTTTACATTCCAAGATGAGTACATCATATAAAGACCGGGAAAAATGAAACTAACCCAAGAACTTGAGGAGCGAGGTATAATAGCGGATAACTCAGCTCATAAGGATTGAGACCTTGCTGGTCTGCCTGCAGGACCAAGAACGAAAAAAATAAAAATGCATTATTTTTATTAAAGTTACTTCTAGTTACTGCTCTCACCCTCTAGAATGTGCTTTGAAGATTTTATTCAAGTTACTTCTAGTAGAGAGAAGGGTCAATGACCCCAGTGTTGACCAAATCACCAATCTCTCAGTATAATATAAATAAATGGTAACCTATGATGGAAAATGCAATAGAAGGTGCATTGATCAGGAGAGCAGTTAAGGAGTCAGCTGCCAGTTCTAATGAACAAATCTTCAATGTTTGAGAGCTAAGGAAACAAAACAAAACTTGAGGCAGTGTCCATTTATAAAGAAATTATGACCAAATCTCCAATGGTTGGTGCATTCGATTTGCACCAGGCACGCACAACAACAAATGTGATTATTAGATGGCAGAACAACGACCATCCCATCCTCTCATCTTTCACCATCAATCATTGAAAATGAGGCCAACCTCGTTTTATTTAAGAAGGATAGAAATGAAGATTTATATCTTAGAGGAAACAGTGAAATGTGCAGGTTCATGGAAGCTAACTTTATGTAACATACAAACCTAGTAGGATTGACCGACAGAGTAATCCTTTCTTGGTCCTTACTCTTACTTCTTGCATTATAGCATCCATATTAATCTCATCTCTCTTCAATTGTGACAACCTAGCACAACTGAAAAAAGCATAGTTAATACATTCCCTTAGTGTCCATGCGTTTACATTCTATAGAGCAAATACAAACTGCAGAACACTACCAATCCGGAAGGAAAATGCACGCAACTCTTAGTTAACAATGAGGTATTGAGGTCAGGACCTAGCAAAGGAACATTACACTAAGAAACACAATTCCCCAGCTACTACATATAGTACAAAAATGCAGCAGGTTTATGAGAGAATCATCAATATAACATATAATCAAAGAAGGTTTCCATCTTTATTTCAACTTAACTTTCTTTTCTACAATAACATTTCCGAGTATGGTCGCAACAACTGGAGCGACATGATCGTGGATTGATTCCAGTAAGCAGAGATCATAATGCATCTCTCCGCCTTATCATTACCTTGGCTGTGATCACCGAACCTAAAATTAAAAACATGCACAGTAGCCAGAAACAACACCTCATTCTATTTTGGAATCCTCCATATAAAGCACATCACATGAGGAAATGATAGTGATTCAGGTAGACCAATGACCTAACACCATGAAAACAATTCATGAATTTCGATGTTACAGAAACATAAGCATGCACTCAAATTGATTGAGGAGGATTCCACATACTTTACTAATGAATAGCATGAATGTTCGTATTCTCCGTGATTAATTGAAATGCGTGTATTTGATCTAACGAACTGAAGAAAAGAGGACAGAAATAACAAAAAACATTAACTTATATATCTAAGATTCATATTCGAGGTTTGGGAGAGCTTCAGTTACAAAGTTCTGATATTTGGTACTTATTTCTAATCCCGTAGTTAGTGATATAAGTGATCAGATTTAAAACTTGAAGTTTCCCATGCCATAACATTAG